ACATGTTATTTCCAGGCAAGCCTGGAGTGGTGTGGGCAGATCTAAGCAATCCACAGAGAGGGTAAGGTCTCTGCATGGCCAGGACATTGCCAGGGGGATCAAATTGTGGTAAAGCCCCCCAAAAAGCCCTGGCAGCCAGCCCTACCTTCTTCTCAAGAGTCGTGACTATGGCCTACCACTGTGTAACTAAAACAAGCAAGAGGAAACCAAAGAAAGTGTCTTCTAGAGACAGTCCCAGTCCCTTGCAGAGTGACCCACGGCACAGTGTTGGGCAAGGCACTTCATCTCTGCGTGCCTCCATGCAATGTGGAGAGCAATGATTTATATCATGTTAGCATGAGGGTTTCATCCATGGAGGTTTGCAAAATGTTGAGCCAAACTGAACAAGCCGGAGCCACCAAGCTGCTCTCACCATCAGATTCCTATTAAAAAATATCTCTGGGCAGTTCGAAAGCCACAAGCAACCACAGTGACCCCAGGTACGGTCACGGCCATGGAGTTTCAATGATTTTAAAAACCTCTTTTTTCTCTGCATATTTCTTTCAGTTTAATTTTACCTGTCCCCAAAGAGTATACGTTCCTGGAGCTCCCAGATGAGTCATGCTTGGTTCAAAATTTTAACTATGCAAAGGTTAAAAAAAAAAGAAAAAAGAAAAAAAAAAAAAGCCTTTTCTTTTAATGGTATGAGTCTCGCATGGAAGTTGTGCAGTATTGTGCTGAGGGCCATCAGCTATGCAGCATTGCCAACCACAGGCATGCAAAACTCATGAGTCAGACTCCCCAAAACCGTAAGACTGGTTTCATTCCCTTCTGGATTTTGAGCCTTTAAACAGCACAACTTCAAGATTTTTTTCTTCAAAAAATGCCATTTTTGACCAACGGGGTGAGAACTGAGACCCTTACATTGTTACTGGGCTCCAGAAGTTGTGAAAGTAAAAAAAATATATATATTAAATACCATGAAACAAGCAATAAACTCCCCCAAATTTGGCAGCAAGATGGCTGCCCTGAGACACCCCAAAGTGTACAAGCAATGGAAACCCAGTGACAAGAAAAGAGATGTCCTTACTATTAATGGTGACATGCTGGTAATGGTCCACCACAGGGTAGAGGAGAAGGGAAGAGTGAAAAAACCCTAAGAAAGCAGTGAGGACACCCATGAGGAATATGCATAACAGGTTTGTTCAACAGGGAGATAGGAAGGAGGAATTTTTTTAAGAGCAAGTATTCAACTAAAGCTGCCTCAAATAGAGCCAGACCTTATGGAGAATGGATATTTTAAGTGGCAATTTATTCCACTAATAAAAAAAGAAGGATGCAGGTGCTTTGGCAGGGCTGCGGACGGGAGCGGGTGAGAGCTGCGGCTGATCAGAGCAGGGTCTGCAGCACCAGCCGTGTGAGGGGCTCAGGCACAGCTGGTGGCTTGGTGTTTATTGGGCTCCTGTTCCCTCCTGCTAGGGCCCGCATATGGATTCGAGCTCTGTCACACCGGTGTCTCATGCAACAGCTCTGAGCACAGGCTGCGGTAGGTGATGAGAGGTATTTTATCCAGATGCTACAGCCATCCCCTCTCCAGCTGGGCAGGGAAGGGCTCATGCCCATGGAGCCATGGGCTGCTCTGTGCTTGCACCAGACCTTTTCACACCAGGAGGTTTCTTGATCAACTTTCTGAAGCAGAGCAGCAAGAAGACAAGAAATCTTTACAAGCTGGACATTGCCGTGCTCATCAAATTTCTCAGGGCTCCATGGGGCCAACCACGCTGCTCCAGAGCCGCATCTCTTGCGTGTCATCCTGCTGTAACCAGGCCCTCATCCAGCTTTTCACCTTTATGCCTCAGTGCAGAGTGCTCGAGTCAAAGTGTCATGAAGATGAAAAATTAGACTTTGAAATAATGGAAGTGGTAAATAACCCTTTGCAATAAGCACTGAGCCAGGCCCGCGTACCTGCTCACACCGACGCTCATAGTGCAGCACGGCAAACTGCAAGTGCACATGGAAGCTGCAACCTTGACTTTCTATTTTAATGTCGTTGTCACCATTATTTCAAACCTGGCAGTAATTCGGGACACACAATGGAGCGAATTTCAGTTCTGATACAGTCTACACCACACAGAGATGAAAGATCATCCTATACTTATCGCAAGGAGAATACACTCCCAATACTCTCAGCTGTCACAGATCCCAATTCCAATATCTACTCCGTTCCAAAATATACTACTGTATATTATATACTACAAAGATCTCTATTCCAATATATACTACTTTCAAACTATCACCCTCATATTAAAAATAAAACAAAACTATCAATGCCTCTCTCCTTCAATGCAGTGTGTGAGCTGCAAGGGTAGAAGTGTGTACAGAAGCCATGGTTAGTGCTACCCTGGAAGGATTCAGGACGGCATACCAGAACCTGGTTTTGGCATCTGGGAACCAGTTTTCAGCCATATATATCACCGTTCCTGCGTGCACTCTGGTCCACAGAAAATTAGCCTTGTGGAATGTAGGTTTAAAATTTGCTTTCCAGAAGTATTTAAACGCAGGAGCTAAAATTTGCTCTTTCTACATTTCCTACCTGTTTAGGAGAGAAGGAACAAAGTCCTGGCCCTTTGTGACTTGGGTTCCTTCCCAGGAAGGTTTGCAAAGCCCATGTCTAGTGCTGTGGTTTGTTTGCAGCCTGAACAAAGACCTTTTAAGCAGCAGCTCCCGACAGGAGCTCACCACCTGCCCGCCCCTTGCCTCGCCATTTACTTTGGGGTCTCTTTTTCAATAATAGCCGGAACATGTGTGCAAACCAGTGTGGGGCTGTTTGGTTTTTTTCCCTCTGTGCCTACAGCGCTGGCTGTGAACCAAACGCCAGCCCAGGCTGTGCAGCTGGGAGAGAAGGAAAAAAAAAAACAAACCCAACAACCTGTGGAATGTTTTCTTGCTCCTGAGAGCTCCAACACTTCCTTGCTCCAGGGAGTATTTGCATGGTTGGCACTTGCTACATCCAGCAACCAATGGGGTTTTCTTTCCAGTGGGGTCCAGTTAGATTTTGGGCAAAGGATGGGAGCGAGAGGGATGTATTTAACGACTGCTTGATCATATTTTTCAACTGATGCCATTTGGCTTGTTGCACAACTATTACCCTTGCACATCCTTGCAAATGGCAGCTCATTGCACAACTGCCACGTCCTTGCAAATGGTCCCATGAGTGTGAGAGGGGCTGCTTTGCTCCCAGACATAGAAACATAGAATCACAGAATCACTTTGGTTGGAAAAGACCTTTAAGGTCCTCGATTCCAACCATAAACCCAACAATGCCAAGTTCACCACTAAACCATGTCCCTAAGCACCATATCTATGCATCTTTTAAATACCTCCAGGGTTGGTGACTCCACCATGTGGAAGTTTGTCCTCACCAACAGGTTTTGAGCTGTGTTTTCACCTCTCTGACACCAACTTCATGGCCACAAAAGCAGAGTGGACATGATTTTCTCAGCTAGGAATCCAGAGCGGTATGTGCAACCAGCTAACCCCAACCCCACTCAAAACCTTCCTGGAGACAAGCCCTGCCGTGCAGCACACAGCATCCCAGAGAACCCTCCTCTGTCCAAGCAGCTCATGCAATAATAACACGGAATAACAGATACATCTGAGGATACGACATAGAAAAGGAACGGGATACTTCGGGGTGTGCTGGCACTCTGCTCCGCTTCCTGCTCAAGGCTGGGTGCCTGGGAGAAGCAGGGTATTTATGTGCTGGCTTGGAGGGATGAATTTTCATGGTAAATAGGGATATTAGAGTTTTTCACTATTTATTGGTAGTGATTCAATTTTGTAGGGGTTTGTGGTAAGTTTATGGCTTGTCCAGGCAGGCGGGCGACTGGAGACATGGTGTGGGCAGCGTGGAGTCTCCACGCTCTGTGCAGTGATGCTGCCTGCACCCAGTCAGGGACCGTGGATAGTTCCTGCGACATCAGCTAAAAACAGGAGCCCTACCCAGCTCATCTCAGCTGTGCCCGAGGAAGGCTCTCAGCACAGCCCTCCCAGGTCAGTGCTTTACTGCTATCGTGCCATTCTCTCTGCACACACAACACCCCTGTGCTCCCCTTCCCGGAGCCCTTCCCAACATGGCTGGAGTGGTTTAAAGAGCATTTTTTTCTTCATGCATGCCTGCACTTCCACCAAACCCCCCTCCCAGGGGACAGGCAAACCCATCCTGTCAGCCTCAGAAATAGACAGTGGCTCATATCTCAGCTCGCAGCCTCCTCCCCAAACCCACAGCCACAAAAGCGGGT